CAGGTCAGGGCAGGACAGGGGGTTGATGCTGTCGTACAGCTGGTCAGATGCTTAGTGGAAGGGAGCCGGGTTTAGGTTTTGGAGATTTCTGCTGGTAATTGTCTGCTGTTTAGTGGGGTAGTGTTAGAGGACGAGGAGACTGTGAAGGTGATGAGATTGTGATCAGAGAGGGGAAATGGGGTGTTTGAGAGGTTATAGGGAGTACAGTGGTGAGAGAAGACAAGGTCTAAGGTATTCCCGTCGGAGTGAGTGGAGGACTGTATACACTGCGCTAGTTCAAAAGAAGAGGTTATGTGGAGGAGTTGGGATGTAACCGGGTTATTGACATTAATAGAGATGTTGAAGTCTCCGAGGATGATAGTGGGTAGCTCAGAGGAGAGAAAGTAGGGTAGCCAGGTGGCGAGTCATCGAGAAAGCGGGACATGGGTCCAGGAGGCTGGTAGATCACTGAAATCCTCAGAGAGATGGGAGAGAATAGCCAGATGCAGTGGGTCTCAAAAGAAGAGAAGGATAGAGAGGGAGGGTTAGGGAGGACTTGAAAGGTGCTCAGTGGTGACAGATGTTGACCAACTCTGCCCTCCTTTCCGACCACTGGGCCTAGGTGAGTGGGTCAAGATGAGGCCTCCGTAGGAGAGTTCTGCAGGGGAGACAGTATCTGCTGCTTGGAGCCAGGTTTTGGTGAGTGCTAGAAGGTTTAAGAGAGCGGGAGACGAAGAGGTCGTGGATAGAGGTGAGTTTATTGCAGACCGAACGGGCGTTCCAGAGTGCACATGAAAACGGGAGGGTGGTTTTGTGGAGCAATGTCTTGTGTGTGTGCGAAGTAGAGGAGGACCAGGGTTCGGGGAGATATCCCCAGAGGTTAGGAGGAGAAGAAGGGTGAGGAAGGTGGCATGTGAGCAGGATGTATACGGGGCGCGCGGGATGTATACGGGCACGCATGCCTTCCAGTCTTGGTGTTAGGGTTAGCAGGAGAATGAAGTATCAGCAGGAGGTGATGAGAGCAGTAGTAAGGAGATGGGAGCAGTGAGGAGAGAATGAACAAGTTTTTGGGTGGAGCAGAGGGACAGAGAAGTGAGGTTTTGGGAACACAAGAAAGGAATATGAAAAGGAGGAGTAGAAGGGGCATTTAAAGATGTAGGGAGTGGGGATTGGGTATTTGATTGCAGATTGTCTAGCATGCAGTCGAGTTTTTCTTGTTGTAGTATCTTCCTGCAGCTAAAGATCTTGTCCTTTGGGTCAAGCTGGGCTGGGTTCGGCGTGAGTGGTATCTGAGTAGTCAGATCTGGAGCGTTGTGTGGCTATTTCTTGCGGGAGGACGTTCGTGCTTTTGTGGAGATTTGCTTGGCAGGGTTCAAGGTCCAGGTGGAAGTTCCAGATTGTAAGATGAGGGTTGGCTTGAGGAGGGGAGGGAAGGGTGACAGTTGTAGAATTGATGTCCCTTGAAGCCGATGGAGAGAAGCCGATGCGAGGGGAGCAAGGGAACCATATACCGGCCTGGCCTCTGGTATGGGGTTAGGTGAGTTGGCTCAGGTGAGGCCTTGTTGGTGGAATTCCAGGCTGTGTCACTGAGGTTCAGGTTGTAAGATGAGGGTTGACTTGAGGAGGGGAGGGATGGGTGACAGTTGTAGAATTTATGTCCCTTGAAGCCGATGGAGAGAAGCCGATGCGAGGGGAGCAGGGGAACCATATACTGGCCTGGCCTCTGGTATGGGGTTAGGTGAGTTGGCTCAGGTGAGGCCTTGTTGGTGGAATTCCAGGCTGTGTAACTGAGGTTCAGGCTGTGTCACTGTAGGGCACAGTAGACCTCGGTAGGTCGAGTTCGTCAGCCGTGAGTTGAGGGAGACAGACCCACTCCGATCCCCCCCTCCTGGTATGGACCAGATGGTGGGGCCTCGGGGAGGGTTTTGATGCACGTCAGTGGCACGCCGCTGCTCGGGTCGGGGTTTAGAGCCGGGTTGCCTGAGTCTCAGGCTACGCGTCCACACCAGGCCAAAGGTGACCCCAGTGACACGGCCTTGGGTGTCCGCAGGGAAGACCGCCAGGGTGGAGATGAAGACGGATGGAGATGGAGGTGGCTTGCCCGGGTGCAGGGTTGGGGATGGAGGTGGATGGAGATGGAGATGGCTTGTACGGATGCAGGGGTGGGGATGGAGGTGGATGGAGATGGAGATGGCTTACCTGGATGCAGGGGCACTGTAGGGAGCCTCTGGTACCCTTCTGGAGTTTACTGCTGCCCGGGTGGAGACCTGCAGCACCTGAGCCTCGGGCTGTGTGGCCTCGCCAGGCCGCGAGGTAGTGTCCACGGGTGATGCGGGGATCGAGTGGTGGTGATGCCGTGCGGGGGTCCTGTCGGGGGCCACAGCAGCCTAGTCCTGCCAGAAGTGGCCCTTGAGGCCGGAGGAGAGGGCCAGGGAGCCTGCTGGGGTGTCCGCTTGATGTCTGCCTGCTGATCTTGTGTCCACGGCAGCCTGCTGCTGAGCCTGAACCACTTTATGCTTTTCATATTGTAGTAACAAAGGTTTTTGCATTTTACCTAAATTTTATATATTGTTTAATGCAGCGTTTTTCAACCACTGTGCCGCGGCACACTAGTGTGCCGTGAGATATTGTCTGGTGTGCCGTGGGAAAAAATTGCAATTTCATCCGTAACATGTGGCCTCGGCTCACAAATAGACCAATCATTAGAACAGCAATGGGCAAACTACGGCCCGCGGGCCGTATACGGCCCGGCAGACCTTTTAATCCGGCCCCGCGGAGCGTGATACTGTCATGATGATCTGTCCCCCTCGACGTATCTGCGCATGTGCCGGAGATCGCCGATCGGCTGCTAATGCCTGAAAAACTGGCACATGCGCAGATACGTCGAGGGGGACAGATCCTCATAGGAGACAGATTTTCATGCTACACCGGAACGGCGAGAGGAACGCGCGGAGCAAAGGTAAGTGAATTGACACAGGGGGGCTTGGGGACTTAATATGGGGGATGAATTAATATGGGGGATGAATTACTATGGGGGATGAATTACTATATGGGGGATGAATTACTATGGGGGATGAATTACTATGGGGGATGAATTACTATAGGGGGGATGAATTACTATGGGGGATGAATTACTATATGGGGGATTAATTACTATAGGGGGGATGAATTACTATGGGGGGAATTACTACTATTGGGGGATGAATTACTATAGGGGGGATGAATTACTATATGGGGGGTGAATTACTATGGTGGATGAATTACTATGGGGGATGAATTACTATATGGGGGATGAATTACTATGGGGGATTAATTACTATATGGGGGATGAATTACTATATGGGGGGGAATTACTATATTAATTACTATGGGGGATGAATTACTATATGGGGGATTAATTACTATGGGGGATGAATTACTACGGGGGATGAATTACTATATGGGGGATGAATTACTATGGGGGATGAATTATTATGGGGGATGAATTTACTATGGGGGATGAATTACTATATGGGGGATTAATTACTATGGGGGATGAATTACTATGGGGGATGAATTACTATATGGGGGATTAATTACTATGGGGGATGAATTACTATGGGGGATGAATTACTATATGGGGGATGAATTACTATGGGGGATGAATTACTATATGGGGGATTAATTACTATGCTTACTATGGGGGAATATTACTATACTTACTATGGATGACACATACACATCATTCATCTACTATTGGTCCGCCCCCCGGGTCCAATATATGAACCCATTGTGGCCCTCAAGTCAAAAAGTTTTTCAATAAATTTTTTCAACATTTTCTAATGGTGGTGTGCCTCGTGATTTTTTTCATGAAAAAAAGTGTGCCTTTGCACAAAAAAGGTTGAAAAACACTGGTTTAATGAGCAAGTTGACTGTCCTTCTTTTGTTTTCAATGAACCAATTTCAGCACTCCACAAGGGTTGAATATTTTATTTTAGTTATATTAATTTATTATATATTTTATTATATATTTTTGTTCATTTATTGGCATAGAGGGGCTTTTCCCCTCTGTTTACACGTTTAAGTTTTGTTCACATATTACACACTTGTAGATGGTAAATTTAGGGTAACTAGCCAGCATTTTATTGTATAGATGATTTTACAAATAGTGGATCTAATTAGGGAATATGTTATGACGCTGTAAACACAGCTTTAGTCTTTGAAAGTTTGAAGTGTGATTAGTTCTGTTGATTGCTTTAAGTGTATATATAAATTGATGGCAGAGCCAAGGTAGCAGATTCAGATCACTTTCCATTAATGATAGCTTTTAATCTCCTGTTAAGAGAGATCCCTGGGCAGGATTGAATGAGCAATAATTGATTAAAAATGTATTTGCTTTTAAATATTTAATGTTTTTTATTTATATTTAAGATATGTCTAATAATGTACCTAATTGTTAAGTAAAAGATATATAGGCAGAGCTTGGTAATATTTTTTTCCAATTTCAGGCCTTTTTTTTCTTTTATTAAATCTTATGTTTAAAATGAATTCCAGGTATATATATTTTATACGTAGTTACATTAGCTTGGACCAATGTAACTATGTATATGCCATACCTGGCCCATGCCCCTGGAAACTGGAAAAGTAGATACTGCTCTTCCAATGAACTGTCACTTGCCTCTCGGTTCTGCACTGAGTGGCTGCTCTGCTGCCTTGCTGCATTGTGAACATAGGAGGTCGCCCACTCAGCATGGGCACTATCACTATTCAGAGAATGCTTTGCATTTTCTGAATGAATGCAAAGCATTTCTAATTGGACGAGGTGGAGAGGCAGGATGGTGACACCATTGTCCAGGTATGGTATATGCATTTTAGATTGGTTCAAGCTGGAGCAATATAAATATGTATAAAATATTGATACCTGGAATTCTTCTCTAAGATATGTTATTTACCACTTTACCTCTCACACCTGTTCTCCCTCCTATGGACAAGAGCAATTTTTTACATTTCTGCTATGGAATTATTTATTCAACAAAAACCTACTTAACCTCCCTGGTGGTATTCCCGAGTGTAGCTCGGGGTAAAGTTTCAGTACCACAAGCGGTAACCCCGAGCTACACTCAGGCTTACCATGCAGCGCTGTTCCGGGATCTCTCAATCACTTACCTTGTCCTGCGCTCCCGCGATGTTCCTCCTGCAGTGTCCCCGGCAATGTAATCAGGCGGATGCTGGCATCTGTCATCTGGGTTCTGTCCCCTGCTAGCGTCAGGGTGTACGGGGAAGGAAGGGCGGGAAATTTGAAAATGACAAAAAGTGACATTCACTAAAATCACATAGTAAAACATTTACTGTATCAAACCATTTCACATACAATTATCTAATCGTGTATTCCCACCTTTAGGGCACGTTTATTATTTGACTTTATTTCTAACTCTTGCCAAATGCCCCTATAGCGTTTGACAGGTGTTAGACAGGCGTTTGGGAAGAGTTTTTAATGCTCCTCAAACGCTCTCCAAACACCCTATTTGTGGTTTTGAGGCAGTTGATAGGCATTTGCCAAGCATTAAAACCGCACCACAAACCCCTATAATGAAGTTAAATGGTATTAACACTCTGCAACCAACTCGTAACCGCACCGCAAATGCCCACCAGGCGTTTGCGGATCATCACCATAGACTTGAATGGGAGGCTTCAACTCCTCCTGACTCGACACAAGGCATCAGTTTTGCCGCGACGCAACTCTAACGCTTCAGTGTGAACAGCACTGTGTGCTGCCATGTGTAGAATTTTCATAGGCATTTGAGAAGCGTTAAAAACGCTTCCCAAATGCCGGTCTGACGCCTGCTGCCAAAGCTAGTGTGAACTGAGCCTTAGTCTTGCCTAGGGCAGCACAAAACCAAAATACATCACTGATATGTGCTGTTAGCATAAGCTCAGGCATCTGATATAGGCTACAAACATTGAAATGGATGTCACATTTCTGTCCTCCATTGAAACGGCCTTGCCTATAGGAAATAATCGGATAGAAGTTTTTAATTAACCTGCCCTGGGAAAACAACAGTTGTAATCTAGTTGCTGAGGGCACTTATTTGCTGCAGCTTTTATAACTCCAGTGACCTCCTCCTCACTTTGGAAAAAAGAAATAAATGGACTATTTTAAGAAGATATGGGAGGATGGGAAAGTCTTGGCGATTATACTAGTTTATTTAGTAATGTGATGGATGGTTGCAGTGTTGTGGTCTATTTTTGGTGCTGTGCAAGATTAGAATCCGGAGTTTGTTTATTTAACAAATGACTAGCAGGTGCATGTTTAATGTCTTTGGATCAAACTAAATAAGCATGTGTGCAATCAGAGCCGCGGAAGAGAAAATTATTGCTGATAAAGGTTTTTAAAATTAACAGACTGGAGATAATTTACAGAAATACATACCAAGTTGTGTCTTCTTTTCCTCTCTTCTTGAATGAGCTAATATCATTTATAACAGAGAGATTGTTGCAGTCAGGGGAACAAATCCCAATAAGGCTCCATGTACATGGGACGTTTGGAAAACTCTTCTGAACGATGGAAACCGACTGCTGGAAAACGTAGGTTAAAAAACGTCTGTTTAGCCTACCGCATTTATGCGTGTTTGTGCTATAAGTGTTTTTTAAAGATAACATCAGGAGACCTTCCAAAATGCCCAGAATGCACTAAAAAACAGTAAACAATTAACTATTTCAGACATTTTGAGAAAAATAGAGAGAGCAGAAGCAGAGAGAGCAGTATGTGTTGAGATGACCTGTCTTTTCTGGTTGTATTCACTATAAATCCCATCATGAGCATAATGCAGCACTTTATACCATTTTTTCCTTCACACAAAACCTGGAACTGACTGCGCTGGTGTACTAAGTCCATTTGAATACATGGAAAACGCTTTGCATGCATTTCTGATGATGAAAAAAAGGCTCTGAACAGTATCTGGTTATGGAACAGTTTTAAAAAAAAAGCAGTTATCCGCATTTACAAGCATTTGGCGTTTGAAACGCTGATAAAATCTACTCCTGAACGCAAGTTTGGTGCGTTCAAAAAAATTACTGTAAACTCAACTGCCTGTAAATGACTATGTGTACATGGACACATAGGAAAACATTAGGGTGAGTTCAAGGGCTGCTGAAAAAAAAAAAAACGCAGAAAAGCTCCTGAACGTCAGTTTATCAGCTGCATTGTACATGAACCCTAACCAGGTAGCCGTGGTCCCTGAAAAATTTACAGCTGGCTTCAAAGACTTAGGGTTCATGTACACTGCAGCTGATAAACTGTTCAGGAGCTTTTCTGCATTTTTTTTAGCAGCCCCTGAACTCACCCTAATGTTTTCCTATGTGTCCATGTACACTATGTCATTTACAGGCAGTTGAGTTTACAGTTGTTTTTTTTGAACGCACCAAAATTGTGTTCAGGAGTAGATTTTATCAGCGTTTCAAACGCCAAATGCTTGTAAACACAGCTAACCACGTTTATAAACATTTGGTCAGTTCCAGGTTTTGCTTGAAGGAAAAAATGGTAAATTGTGCTGAATTATGCTCATGATGGGATCCATAGTGAATACAACCAGAAAAGACAGGTCATCTGAACACATACTGCTCTCTCTGCTTCTGCTCTCTCTATTTCTCTCAAAATATCTGAAATAGTTAATTTTTTACTGTTTTTCAGTGCATTCTGAGCATTATGGAAGGTCTCCAGGTGTTATCTTTAAAAAACGCTTCTAAACGCAAACGCGGCTAAACAGACGTTTTTTAACCTACGTTTTCCAGCAGTCAGTTTTCATCATTCAGAAGTGTTTTACAAATGTCTCTTGTACATGTAGCCTAACTTGGAACAAAACAACAATGTGTTTCTAGGACTCTGTAAATATACAGATTTATATAGAGCTCTGTAAATATACCGACTAACAACATACTATTAGTTGGTGAGGGAAGGTGGGTTGCTAATACCCAGATTAGCAGATCTTCTAAACCAAGCACCAGATTAATTTGTCTGGATCCATACTCCTTTGTACTAAGAGAATAACATTTGCTCCTGTGTTGTTAACATGCTAGTTGCCGGGCTGTCCTTCTAAAGTAAGCAATGCTGAAGCTTACTAAATCCTGCCAAAAGCTTGTTTTTTTATTATTATTATTATTATTATTCTTATACAGGATTTATATAGTGCCAACAGTTTGTGCAGCGCTTTACAAAATGAAGGTAGACATTACAGTTACAATACAATTTGGTACAAGAGGAAACATAGGGCCCTGCTCAGTAGAGTTTACAATCTTGGAGATCTTGTTTAAAGTTACAGCCAGCCATTAGGGCTCTTTTAGACATTTTGTGCCCTTTGAAGAGCCATCTGCATTCTGGATGGTTTTCATAGGACATTTGGCAGGTGGTGAGGAGGCATAAAAACACTTCATCACTGCTTGATTTACAGTGTTACTAAACCCACAACAGTAAAATCAGTCTGTATATGCAGTAAAGCATGCTTGTTATACTCACTGTGGAAGTTAAGAGGTTAATCCTGCATTGTGTAATAATGCTGTTTGATCCTTTCTTCTCTGTTTCTCCCTTTTTTCAAGGACCACCTCTTATCTCCTGATAAGACAGACTGAATCGTAGGCATTATGCACATGCTCAGTTTGGTTTGTATTGCTAGAGAGGTTTGTTTGTTTTTTCCTTGGGAGAGTACATGTGATCAGCACAAGGCCAATCAGCACTGGTCAGACAGAGGTCAGGGGTTTTGCATCCTCCTAGAGCAGAAAGAAAACTCCTCCTACAAGCTTTAGCTAGTGCTTGACTGAACACTGATAGAAGTCACAAGACTGCTCTAACTAGTGATGAGAAAAGGTATTTAGCAGTTTATATTTACTACAATAATTGCATTTCCATGTTGTGTGTACTGTGGGAGACCAGATATAGTGAATGCAGGGCCCTGGGTTTAGTAACACTTTAATTCTATAATGCTGCTCCACTGGTCTGCAATCGCAGGCATTGCACGCAGTTGTGCTGCGGCCCTTCATTAAACTTAATGGGCGAATTTGAGAGGCGGTGCTCTCAAAATGTTTCTAAATTCTGTCCTTAAGCTTCCTGTTAAGTAGACCCTAAAGCCTAAATTTGCACGTAACTTTTGGTCTGCCTCCAAACGCTTAGAGCAGATTTCCACTTTTTCAGCCAAATTTGAGTTAACCCCACTATATGTTTGTTATGTGTTCTCATTCCCACAGCTTGACTAAATTTAAAAAAAAAAGTTTAAGCTGTCAGTCTTTTTTCCAGCCAGTTTATTACGAATGCATGCTGGTTTACGCAGAAACAGCCCCCAGCATTGGTGGCAGTGATTGCAATAACAAAACCTACATTGGTGGTCAATGGTGTTGTGCTATTTGAACCCCCCTTCAATGATAGCCCTTTAACCTTCCCTCTCCCATTGGTGGTCAGTGGCAGTGCTGATCATAAACACTGACACTACCCATTAATGCAGCACAAAAGAGTTAATTGGCACTGCCACTGGCCACTAATAGACCTCAAAGGGGTTAATTAATACTAACACCGCTGCGTTAGTAACCAGTGGCTGTAATTAACCCTTTCATGCTGCATTAGTGGCTAGTAGATGTGTTTGGTAACCCCATCATGCTGCATCAATATCCAGTCGAAGTATTTTATTAACCTCTTCTTGCTGCATTAGTGACCAGTGGCAGTGTTGACCTCTTCATAATGCAGCATAAAGGGGTAATTAACACTTCCACTGTGCACTAATGCAGCATAACAGGATTAACACTTCCACTGCTTACTAATGAAGTGCTGGCCACAGAGTTAGTGTTAATTAACTCTTTATGATGCCTTAGTGGCCAGTAACTTGTTACTCCATTATTCTGCATTGTCGGCCAGTGGAAGTATTTTATTAACCTCTTCATTATTTATTTATTTCAGGTACTTATATAGCGCTGTCAATTTACGAAGCACTTTACATATATATAGTGTCCATTCACATCAATCCCTAATCCTCAAGGGGCGTACAGTCTAAGGTCCCTAACTCACATTCATACATACACATACTAGGGCCAATTTAGACAGGAGCCAATTAACCTACCCAGCATGTCTTTTGAGTGTTGGAGGAAAACGGAGTACCTGGAGGAATGCATGAAAACTCCAGGCAGGGGGTGTGTGGTTGGCATTCGAACCAACGACCCTAATACTGTCAGGTGGAAGTACTAACCATTTAGGGTGACACAGTGGCTTAATGGTTAGCACATTGGCCTTACAGTAAATGGTTCATGGGTTTGATTCCTGACCATGGCACCTCCTGCATGGAGTTTGCATGTTCTCCCTGTGCTTGCATGGGTTTTCTCTGGGTACTCTGGTTTCCTCCCACACTCCAAAGACATGCTGGTAGGTAAATTGTCCCTAGTATGTGTATGAATGTGAGTTAGGGACCTTAGATTGTACACCCCTTGAGGGTTTAGGGATTAAAGTGAATGTATAATATATATGTAAAGTGCTGCATAAATTGACAGCGCTATATAAGTACCTGAAATAAATAAATTTAGCCACTTTGCTGGCCATCATGCTGCATTAGTGGCCAGTGGCACTGAGCCTGAATGCTTTCACCTGACAGGTGGAAGCAGCAGGACTAAAGGTAGAAATAAACTACCTGCCCAGCGCCCAGAATTACATGTCCCAGGCGTCGGGCAATAGGAATTGCACATCCCTGAAGTGAGTATTGGGGGGGATGCTGCACAGAGAATTTTTTACCTTTGTGCATGAAGGTAAGAAACCTTGCACCTTTACAACCACTTTAACTCTTTGTTAGAGCAGACAGTGTTCAAATCTAGTTACAACTGATAATGATGATCTGCCTGCACAGTGCAGACAAGGTTAAACCCAAAAACAAAAATGTAATTATTGCATCTTACCCAGGGGCTGACTGACAACTCATGGGGCCCCCGGGCAATAGTGGATCATGGGGCCCCTGTGTCCTTGCCCAAACTCAAAAAAGCCTATGAAAAAGGTACCAGGGGCATCTCATGGGGCCCCCTACTGACCCCGGACCCTCGGGCAGTGCCCGAGTTTACAAATGGTCAGTCCGCCCCTGATCTTACCAATCAGTAGATATAGTGGTTGCATTATTTTTTTTTTCACTTAGTGATTTGGCCAGTAACACACTTCCTCTCTGGGAGTCTGCATGCTAGATGTTGTAGTAAAGTAGACATGTTTGGACAGAAGCATTTTCAATCTGGGGGGAGGGGAGTGTTAGATTAACAGATTTAATAAATGGACATGACTAATAAATTAAGGCTGAACTCCAGATAACATTTTATAAGCAGTTACAGTTTTTTTTTTCTCATTCACACCAGAAAACTGTGCATTTAGTGCACGTTTTTGCATGTGCACTGATGTGCATTTGATGAGGGAAACAAAAACTGGCACATCCCTGCTGACAGGACAGAGCTCTGTGTTGTTTATATTCACTAAGCTCTGTTCTGTCTTCCTCTTTGCTGATCAGCGAGTCCTGACTGGCAAGCATTGGCCTGGGACCCACTGATCAGCTCGTGCTGTAAAAAATCACAGCACAGCCAGAGCAGTTGGCGTACGCATGCGCGGACCCTACCCGGAAGAGCTGGATCACATATTAGATACAGGATCCAGCGTAGGAGAGCTGCTCTGCCACCATACTGGTACGTGAGATGGTCAGCAAGTGGTTAATTTGTGTTTCCATACATTTGCAGTGCACTTTTCCTAATCTTGCAGTTTTCTTGAGCTCGCTTTTGTCTTCTTTCTTCTATGGGCTTTTATGCGCACTGCACTGTGTTGCAGGCAGTGCATTTTCATGCGCTTATGTGCATTCATGAGCATTTCTGTGCATTTGCACTGCAATAGTGTGAACTATGCCCATAGGATAACCTGGACTTTGGACTGTTTATGCAGAGTGCAGTCAAAAATGCATCCCACTGCATCCGGTGTAAATGACCCTTCCAGAAATAAGTAAAAGCTGATCACTGTAAGCACCCCATCAGTGTAAAATGGTTTGTCCCAACACTTTTTAACCCCTTCTAATCAATCATTGCATTCCCACTAGGAATATTAAACGTTTCTGCACAGAGGTGAGTTTAGGAAATCTGATTTTCTTGTTCTGTACACTTGTTCAAGGCCTGTAACTCAAAATGTTAGGCTAGGTTCACACCTATGCAGTTTGTGTTTGATTAGTTTCTATAGTGCTTTTCACGGGCGCGTTTTGCACATGTGTTTTTGACGCGTTTTTGATGCATTTTTTTTTCAACGTGTTGCTGGGCAGAATAAAACGCAAAATGCATCAAAAACACATAAAAACCGCTCTACATGCTTTTCTGCAGCATTTCCATTGAAGTCTATAGAACCAAAAACGCAACATTGTGCATTTAAAAAAAGTCCCTGACCCTTTCTAAAAAACGCACCAGGTGAAAACACAGAGATGTGAACCTGTCCCTTAGGAAATCATGTTAAATGGACTGCTGTGCTTTTCTGCAAAACGCATTGGTGTGAACCTAGACTAAAAGGCAGGCACTTTTATATGTGGAAGAAAAAAATCTATATTTAGTTTAGAGGTGGTGAGTACACCTGAATAGGATATTATGCAATTTTTGCAGATAAAGAATGTATAGATGTAAGTAATCTTTTTTGTTCACTTTACCCTCAATGGTATTGTGAAAGCGACTGCACTGTGGTTCAGGAACCACATCCTGACATGCAGTTTACACATCCCCTTTAACCTCAGTAGCACTTGAGCCAATATGCAGCTTCTTTTTGTTACTACTGAACTGTTTGTTTTTTTATAAACTTTAGTTCATCTTCAAGGCTCCATGTACACTGCAGCTAATAAACTCACGTTTAGGAGCTTTTCTGCATTTTTTTTTTTCAGCAGCTCCTAAGCTCACCCTATTGTTTTCCTATGTGTCCATGTACACATTGTTGTTTACAGTCGTTTTTTTTTAATGCACCAAACTTGCGGTCAGGAGAAGATTTTATCAGCGTTTCAAATGCCAAACTCTTGTAAACGCAGCTAACCGCATTTATAAGCGTTTGCAAATTTTTTTTTAACTGTTCCATTTCCAGGTGCTGTCCAGAGCCTTTTTTCATCATGAAAAATGCATGCAAAGTGTTTTCCCGGTAATCAAATGGACCTGGTACACCATACTTAGAGGTTTCACATGAAAGAAAATATGTTAGACACTGCTGCAATAATTTCTGCACAGAAATGAGCTGGAACACATCCAACACCACGAAAAAAAAAAACCTGCTAATTTCAACAAATACTGCTCTCTCTGCTTCTGCTTTCTCTATTTCTCTCAAAATTCTAATCAATAGGAAAATTCCTTCTGATTATGATGTCACAAATAATGGAAGCAAACCCTGCAATAAGAAATGCTGCAAACTGTGCAACCAAATCAATCCATCAAAAAGTGTCAGACACTCAAAAGGGATCTTCAGTATCTCCGGATCATACAGCTGCACCTCTAGTAATGTTGTATACCTTATCCAGTGCAGAAAATGCAGCAAAGGATCTTATGTTGGTGAAACAGGACAGAAGTTGCAAACAAGGATGAATTTGCACAGACATACCATCAAGGAATATAAAGAAGATGACTTTTGCACACCTGTGGGACACCATTACGCACAACCAGACCACACTTTGGGAGACTTCAATATTTTAGTTCTTAAAGGAAATTTCAAATCCATTCAGGAAAGAAAAACGTTTGAACTAAGATGATAATTCTATTTGACACAAAAGATAATGGCCTTAATTTGGACATGGGATTCCTCAATCATTATCCAACTGTTTTATGACTATCACCTCAAGCATGACTCCCTCTGTGAGTGTTGTTGTCCCCCCCCCCCCCAGTCTTTGCTTTTGCTGTGTCTTATCTCTAGCCTCTCTCTTTTTTTTTTTTTTTCATCCCCCACATCTCTTCTAACATTCTGCTAAAACTTTTTAACAGTACTGCTTAGACCTTGAAGAAGGGGACACTCCCGAAAGCTTGTCCTCAAAATTGTATGTTAGTGCAAATAAAAAAAGTATCACGGACAGTACTCAATTGTTTCTGTCGCAAAGGCACTAATACTGCTACAATCACCTCTCTCAAAATGTCTGAAATAATACATTTTTTTACTGTATTTCAGTGCATTCTGGGTATTTTGGAAGGTCTCCTGAAGTTATCTTTAAAAAACGCTTCTAAACGCAAATGCTCATAAACGCGGTATTCAAACGTGGCTAAACAGACGTTTTTTAACCTACGTTAACCAGTAGTCAGTTTCCATCGTTCAGAAGTGTCCCGTGTATATGGAGCTTAAGAATATATTTGTGAAAATTAACCCTTTTGAAGAATTTCAGCCCACAAATATACACCTTCAAACATAAGTGAGTAATGTTGACAGGTTCCCTTTAAGACCCTGGATTTAGAACTCCGTATAGGCTTTCTTGAAATGTTATAAAACAAAAGTCGGGTGGATTGAGTTGTTGGCAGCTCCACATATGCTGACCTAGGCTAAAGCTGGTGAAGTGTAAGCACTGCTTGGTAAGTAGGGCCCTGGCTGTAAATGTACACATGATCTGTGCTGCTCTTGACTCTCCACTTGATTGTATGTATTATTTATTAGGAGCCTTGAAGTAGGTTGAAGCTGTGCAGTCATATGTTCAGGCAGGCCTGTGGTAGGGAAGCTGACCCAGATACTGCTGTAACAAAGACCACACCAATAAGGTTTATTAATGATGGCATAAAAATTATGATTCTTTTTAACCTTTAGTAACTAAAAGCACTAAAAGAAAACACCATTTTTGGTGCCACATTTTATTTATATACTGTAATGTTTCATTTCCAGTCGCCCTCTTTTTTTTTTTTTTCTCTAATCCCTCTCTGTTTTTGCATGGCTTAAAGCAGTATTAAACCCAAAAGCAAACATTTGTTATATTGCAGTTTACCAATTCCGAGATGTGATGGCTGAATTAGTTTCCTTTTTTAGGTTTTCTTTCTTCTATTTTCATCTTTCATTCAGCCAGTAACTCAGTAGCTGTTTTTCAGAAGTTCAAGCCCTAGAATGCATCAGTTTACATGGATGAGTCCCATCCATTTACCATTGTCAGGGGTGATTTAAATGATCAGCTTTTTTTTTTATTCATGTAAAACCTTTATCCTGAAATGGAAAATAATCTGTTTGCTGTAACTGGTTATAAAGTGTTTGCCGGAATTTGGCTTCGATTTGTTATTATATTCAAATCTGCTAATACATTTAACACTCTTAAATGACAATGCTGCTGTCTGCTGTGCCTTCTGTGCTCATTCCTACAAAGTGGTGTGTCACTAATACAGGAGGTGTGTTACTGGCCAGATCACCAGGTGAAAACAGGGCAAAAAGCCTAATAGAACAAAAAAACAGATGCAGCCACCACATCTAATGATTATTAAGTTGCAATATAATACATTTTTGGTTTTGGATTTAATCCCACTTGAAAGTGGACTTATTCTCCAATTTTAAATTTAGCTATGTCAGTATTGCTGGGTTGGAAAAAGAAATTATTAAAAATACTGAAATGCTTACCTTTTTCTAGAATACATTTTCATTAAGGCTTCCTCTAATGTTGGTCAAGCCTAGGCATTTGGTCACGTGATCTCTGTAGAAATGGTGGAACAGGCGTTCTTAACTCTAATCCTCTCCCTTATCAATGATCACCTGGAGAACCAAAATGGTTTATAGCTGTCTCTACAAAATACTTAAGCAATTCTAAAAGTTAGTTTTTTATTCTTTTTGTAAAATGGCAAGCTTGTCTATACTTACCTGCTTTGTGTAGTGGCTTTGCACAGAGCAGACTGGATCCTTCTCTTCTCTGGGCCCCCGCAAGCTCTTCTTGCTACACCCTCCTGTCGGGTGCCTCCACAGCAAGTAGCTTGCTATGGGAGCACCTGCTGCTCCATGTGTCCATTCACACATGGAGCCCTGGCTTGGCCAGTGGTGTATTTAGGTTTTTTGCTGCCCTAGGCAACACAAAAAGCGACACCCCCCGTGGAGAGAGCCTAACACCAACCAACCCCCCCCCCCCGCCTGAGAGAGCCTTCCACTACCACCACCCTCCATACACTGGCCACCCCCCCCAGCGAGAGAGAGAGATACTCACCTTCACAGCTCCAGACATCCCCTGGAATGAGAGTCAGGCTCTGGATACACCGTCAAGCAGCCCACAGCCTCTCTCGGATCCCACCTGTTCCCCATGCTGCGTGTGTCCCTTCTTCTGTCCTTTCTTCCGGGGAGCAGTGCTGCCCCCCTGAAAAATGCTGCCCTAGGCAAATGCCTTGTTTGCCTTGTGGTAAATACACCCCTGGGCTTGGCCCCACCCCTGTCTCTCCTCATTGGCTGATTGGCTGTGATTGATAGTAGCAGGAGTCAATTGCTGTCTCAGCCAATGAGGAGGCAGAGACCTGGGACAGCCGACGCTGTCATTCACATCACTGGATCGCGATGAGGTTCAGGTAAGTATTGAGGGGTCTGGGGGCACTGCTGTACACAGAAGGTTTTTTCCCTTCATGCATAGAATGCATGAAGGTAAAAAAACCTTGAGCCTTTACAACCATTTTAGCTATTGAAATATTTAGAATAATTTATCTAATTAGTTGTATATGAGAATGCATCATAAACATCTATGTTTGTCTGAACATTCATATTTATATTGCACTGAAAGTATAATGTATTTCAGTGAGCAAATATTATGATGATCTTTACCTTCTTGTTGTTGCTGTTCCATATTTTTGCTGTATTAAATAGAGATTTGTATATTAGCCACTAGAGGGAGCTCTGCATTTGAATCGGCATCAGCCATCACTGCCTATTCAATTTTTTGGCTAAAATATCAACTATCCAGGGACATTGTTTGGGTGACTCATATGATTCTGAGAAAGGGCAGTAACACATGAGGAAGCAGAACCAAAATATGAAATAAGCAAATGTAGTTGCTGGCATGTACATATTTGATTACAGATTATTAGAGGTCTTCTTTGGTTACAAAGGCCTCAGTCATAGACTGTCAGATTTGCATATATCCGTAGGTTTCTAAGGTGGTAGCTGTATTGGTGTATGCGAAATGCAAGGTATGAGTTTTATGAACGGTTAATAAAGATAAAAGTGATATAAATAATTAATTTTCATATTCTGATAGCCCGTGTCTGCAATTCTGTTTACACAAAAAGCACTAAATACTGTGACCATTATGGTAATACTAGGAACACTTTCAAATAAATCATCCAACATATTTTTCTTTTGCCTAAGTAAAGTAAGCAAATGTGCTATTATTTTTTAGGCCTCGTGCACACTGGGGGTGTATTCCTGTCTCTTCTGGACTCCTTTTCTCTTTGAAGGAGAAAAGGTGCCTAAAGCTATGTCAAAGGTATTTGGGCTTTAATGCCAATGTCCAGAATATCAATTTATTCTAGCCATTGAAATGAATGAAAGCTCAAGTAATAATTGTACCTAATGTGCTTTGGGCATTTTTCTGCCGACATGCTCCTCTCCCAAATGTGCAAGGGGTGTTGTTTTTCTGCCTCTAAATGCCTGTAAATGCTTAGGTGTGCATGGACATGTAGGAAAATGTTGTTTCCTGTGCTCCCACTCCATTGCTCTGTGCTGGCATAGCTGAGTAACACCAACACCCTTCATTAGAAGTGTCCTCATATGAGCTTGTATTGCACAGAAAGGCCTCATGTACACTAGACGTTGTTATAAAAATGCCAATAGCATTAGCTGTAGAATGCCACGTTAAAAACACGAGTTTTGTCTCTTTTTTGCAGTTTTACAGTAGTGTTTTTTAGTGTTTGCTTTTTTTACCCAAACTATACTCCCACAACAGCTTAAGGCTCAAAAGCGCTCATAAACACTGGATAGCTGCATTGTTTAGTGCTTTGCAGCATTTTTCAGCATTAGAGCATTTTACAGCTGAAAAACTCTTTTTCAAACACAGTAATTCTGTTTTTTTTTCCAGCCTGTAAGCACCCCTGCCAAAAAATGCTTATAAAAGTCTGTGTGCATGGACACATAGGATAACATGATAAGAAGTTTCATGGCTGTGGGAAAAAAACCTGATGCCCAAAACAGCAGCTTTAAAAACTCTTAGTGTGCATGAGGCCAAATGAGGGGTGTATGAGACCGGCTTTGTTACTGAGTGCTGACTACTGAGGGCAGTAGGTCTA